GTCCAAGTGTAAACAGTCTCAGGTGTATTATGGTCTGTCCAGCTGATGAACATCTGTAATCTCTCCTCACAGCCATCTGTCTGCCGGGCTGTGATGAAGAACACGGCTTTTGCGAGAAACCCGGAGAGTGCAAGTAAGTGTGGCCGCAGTTCACCAGAGTCTCCACTAGGTGTAGTCATCTGTTGATGTTGGTAACTCACCTCTGCTTCTCTCTCTCTCTCCCCGCTGGTAAACAACAGATGCCGAGTTGGTTTCAAAGGACGTTACTGTGACGAGTGCATCCGTTACCCGGGCTGCCTACACGGGACCTGCCAGCAGCCGTGGCAGTGCAACTGTCAGGAGGGCTGGGGGGGGCTGTTCTGCAACCAAGGTGAGCTGGGGGGCGGGGCTTCGGAAGACGAAACTGGGGACAGTGAAAGGGTGGGGGTGTTGAGGAGGGATGTTATTAACTTTTTGCCGATATCCGATGTGCCGATATTGTCCCCCAGACGCAGCCGTTTGTACCAAAAACTGAGGTAAACGTCTCAGAACTCCGATTCCAGTATATTTGGCATTGTGTTATCGGTATCTTATTCGGAATCTAATTTTATTAGGAAAAAAAGAAAACAATATTGGTCGACTGATATTATTGGACATCGGTAGTGCTAAGAGAAGATTCCACATCTGGTTCATCCATTTGGTACGAGATCTTTCCGATGTGTTCTCCTTGTTTACGTTAGTGGAACATTGATAAAAAAAAAAAGGAGAATGTTGTTCTGTAACAAGCGGAGAGCAGCAGTTGTCTCCAGGAGGTCTGGGAACAGAAACTGAAAACCGGGGTAAAACAGAAAGAGTCAAGTGTGCTGGAGGATTAAAAGATATTCTGTCACTGCTGCTGCTGTTGATGTCCTGCCATGTGTCCTGCTGCGGCTAATCCACATGTGCTGCCGTGTCTTTCCAGATCTCAACTACTGCACTCACCACAAGCCCTGCATGAATGGAGCCACTTGTAGCAACACGGGTCAGGGCAGCTACACCTGTTCCTGCAGGCCGGGGTTCACTGGCGCCAGCTGTGAGATCCAGGTCAACGAATGTGCTGGAAACCCCTGTCGCAACGGAGGAAGCTGCACGGTAACTACGCCTTGTTTTTGTAACAAGAACCTGAAATGGGAACACGTGTATGTCACGCAGCAAATGTGGCCCAGATGTTTTTTTGACGACTCCAAATCCCTGCGTCTGTCTTGTTCAAGTTACAGACTTAAACCAGACAAAATGAAAAGAGTTTGAAGTCACTGAAGAAAAAAAAACCCAGACCTAGATTCCAAGTCTGTTCTATTTTTTCTCCTCAGGATTTAGAGAACACATATACCTGCACTTGCCCTCATGGTTTCTATGGCAACAACTGCGAGCTGAGCGCCATGACGTGCGCAGACGGGCCCTGCTCCAACGGCGGCCGCTGTGCAGACAACCCTGACGGAGGTTATTTCTGCCAGTGCCCTACAGGATACGCAGGATTCAACTGTGAGAAGAAGATCGACCACTGCACCTCCGGACCCTGCTCTAACGGTAAGAAGGATCTGGCCCCCGAAACGGCTTCACTTCAAAGTGAAGTTCTAAGTGATTCAGGTCACGTTGTCTTTAGCAGTGCAGATCGAGGTAACTCCTGTTCCAAACTAATAGACCAAACTAAAACACTCCTCCTTTGATCTAACGGTTAGACCAAACTAAAACACTCCTCCTTTGGTGATCTTCTCAGGTGCTCGCTGTGTGGATCTGGTCAACTCGTATCTCTGTCAGTGTCCAGATGGATTTACTGGCATGAACTGTGACCAAACCGGGGATGAGTGTTCCATGTACCCTTGCCAGAACGGCGGCACGTGCCAAGAGGGTCCAACTGGCTACACTTGCACCTGCCCACCAGGGTACACGGGTCGCAACTGTAGCTCACCCATCAATCGCTGCGAGCACAACCCGTGCCACAACGGCGCCACGTGCCACGAAAGGAACAACCGCTACGTCTGTGCATGCGTCCCGGGCTACGGGGGCAGGAACTGCCAGTTCCTGCTTCCAGAGCACGCCGCCATCCGGGGTTCGGAAGTTCCTTGGATGGCCGTAGGATCTGGCGTGGCCCTGGTGCTGCTCCTGTTGGCGGGGTGTGCCGTACTCGTTGGATTTTTCCGATCAAAAGCCCAGCGCGGCGGTCAAATAGAGACTGTGGTAGAAACAGAGACAATAAATAACCTCACCAATAATTGTCACCGCAGTGACAGGGACCTGGCCGTCAACATGATGCCGACGTCCGGCGTCAAGAACATTAACAAAAAGATGGACTTTTGTAGCGCTGATCCCGACGAAGGATCATCGCCGGGGAGAAGCGGCTTCAAGAGCCGCAATCCTCCCGCAGACTACAACCTCGTACACGAGGTCAACTACGAGCAGGCGGCCAAGGAGGCCATGCTGGAGCCAGCCTGCGAGGACAAGTGCCAGTCCCTGGACTCGTTTGAGTTCGAGGAGAAGCGCACCAAAGGTCTAAAATGGTAAGAGCGACTTCTGTCGAGGGAGCTGACCAGAAATGTCATACGCTGTATACGATGCTAACGTTTTGTTTTTGAAATGTCTGTATACGATGCTAACGTTTTGTTTTTCTTCCTGTTTCCGTCCTAAAGCGATGCATCAGAAATCTCTGCCCCAGAAATGTCTGCATGTGCGGACACCAAGTACAAATCTGTGTTTGTGTTGTCAGAGGACAAGGACGAATGTATAATTGCAACTGAGGTGAGTTTCCGTCTTTAGCTAGCTGTCGCTGCTACGCTACGACTGTTTGCTCAAGGAGAACAACACTTATTAACAACTTTTTTTTTCTCTCGTTCTCGTTCTTCTCCAGGTGTAACAAGGCCATCGACGGGCTGCCTGTTGCTCATTTGCTCTATGGGAGAGTTTTTATACTCCTTCAGATGCTGCTCTAACCCTAGGGGGAGTTGTCCCGCCTTGAGACTGCTGCTGATACTGAGACGTTTAACTGATATTCAGAGTGAGCTGGTTCTCTACTGGAAACTAAGTGCAGGAAGCGGCGGCCTGTGGGATGAGAACTGGCAGGGGTTGAAAAAGAAATAATTAAAGTTTACAGTTTAAGTAAACGGCCACTTAGCTTTCTGTTTTGCCTTTTTATTGGGGGGAGGGGGGGGGTGGGGGGGGAGAGTAGGGATGAAATAACAATAATAATGATAATTAAAAAAAATATTTATAAAGATACGTGCCATCACGTGGCGGCAACACGCGGTGTTACGATTACTAGCCTTTTTGCAACATTTGCACCCAGGCCTTTTCTCTAACCCACATGCCGTTGGCGAGCGCAGGAACTGCATCAAACGGTGGATGTTCGGCCATAGTGGCCTGTTCTTCATGAGGCTGTTCACGTGGGCGGTGCACCCATCACCACACCTGTGAAGACTGTATGTATACTTGATCACTGTGTTAACTGAAGTGCGTTTTCTTCCCTGAAAGCCTCCAAACCGTTTTAAGACATAGTATTGTTCATTTGTAACGATCATTTCTCTCTTGTCGGGGACATGAATTTTATCTTCTTTGGGTCTTAATTAAGAAAAAAAAAAAAGTTGCTTTTTTTTAAAATACAGGTTGACTTTTTGTAAAATAAAGAAAAAAGTAAGAAAAAAGTTATGATTTAAGATTATGATTTAATTTAAGTTAATTTAAGTATTTTTGTGTTATTTTTATTTTGTATTGTATATTTGTGCTGTTTGTTATGATTATTTAAGTTGCTTTTTTTAATTAATATTTGCAAAGGCACTTCAGGTCAATGGGACTTGTATTTTTTTTTTTTTAAAGAAAATGTTATTTAAGAGGGATTGTACTGTAAAAAATGATGTTACTGTCTCTTTTACTACTCGTGAATGAAGGATTTAGCCAAGACTATTTTTCCAAATAAATATTGCTAAATGTGAAATATTAAATGCGTCAACTATTTGTTTTTTGCCCGTCTGTGAAAACTTTTTTTTCCTTTAAGGGTCTGTGAGCAAAGTCAATCAGTAACATCTGTTGTCTTCCCCTGGCGACCACATAGTGGGCTTTTCTGTGCCCACACTGTTGGCTACTGCCAGAAGTTGAAAGTGTCTCCCTGGAGACGGGAGAGGGAGCCTATTCACAGAAGACAATGTCCCTACGCTAGATTTACCACTCCTATTTCCAGCCCTAAACAGCCAGTCAGGTAATTCATGGCAGTAAAATTTAGATCAATGTTGAGCAACGCCTACTGGTCACGTATCGCCTTTAGGTGTTTGGGGTTTTTTTGTTTGTTTTGTTTTGTAATGCTTCCTGTTTCTTCTTTTCTAGTGTAGTGTGTCCAAAAACACTAGTAAAAACCCTGGAAACTACTGAATGTATTTTCCCTTTAAATCCTCAGTGCATAATCTCACAGTTTAGTTTTATAAATTTTGAACAAATCTCCTCAGAGTTGTCAATGTTTCACAGCCACATGGTGCAACATTTATATTCAGTAAATCATACATCCTCAAAATATGTTGTCAATAGGGTGGGAATAGCAGGATATATTAAAAAAATAAGCTAACTGTAGCTGTGAACACATAGCCTAGCATAGCGAATGTTGGCTAATACCAAGAAGTTAGAAACGTGAGACAAACACTGTAACCAAGAAGTTGGCAAAACACAGATACTAGTGCTAGCAAAATGTAGCCGAACACAAAACACAAAATCACCGTAGCATTAAGTTACATCAGAATATTTTCAAACAGAGAAATCTATGAAAAAGTTAGCCTGCGCTAGCTAAAATGTAGCCTACAAGTTCCATCCTGTTCCCCAGCATAGACAAATCGCAGCAGCTGGAATGTTTTTCTAGAAGCTAAAGTGACTCACCTGCGTTTGTGAATTCACACGTTACCGTTGCCCTCAGACTGGGGTTTCTGTCTTAACTGCCCCACAAACTGTGTTTTTTCCACACAAACAACTGTAAATCATCCACCGGGTAGAACTCTGGCCTCTGCTGGGGTTTATAACCCCGTGCCATTATGGCAACAGACTTCAGCAACAGACAATGATGGAATTGACAATGGTGCACACAAAAGGGCCACCCTTGGGAGAGGCTGCGTGTCCCTCGGCATGCTGGGAGAAAGAGAGTAACAGGAACAGATGTTGTTGAGTAACAGATGCCTTCTGGCCAGAGTTCAGCCACGACCAGCCCCGGCCTTCAAAGGACTGGGTGTAAAAAAAAAAAAAAAGATTATCAATGGGCCTCGGAGAAAATACTGCTTTTATATTTATGTCTTCCTGATGAATCTGTTCGGAGCGTTTGAGAAATGGCAGAGATAAGAGGAAGACTTTTGTGTCCGCGGATGAATACGGACAAAGAAACTACAGTGTCGCTGCAGGAACAGAGAAAACATTCAATCAAAGTGAGGAATGGAGTTTTTTTGTTTTGTTTTTTTTTTTCTTCTCCTCACATTAGAAAGAGACTTTGAAGAACAAAGATAAATTGGCCCGAATGCGTGTCATCAACTCTGAAATCACAAAAGCCGACAAGACGTTTGAAAAGCTGTTGTTTTAGTCGACTGTGATCGGAGCTCGATGAGTCGATGAGTTAAAGTTAGATCATTGACATTTAGAACTTTTCCCCAGGAACAAAATCAACACCGTGTGACATTTCAACACAAAAAGAACATTATGTTCCAAACTACAATTATTGCCCAGAATGTCTCAAAAGTTTTTGGAAAATGAAACACAAACATCGACTTTTGTATTTAATATATTTTGATTTTTTTTTTTAATTTACAAGCTGCTGTACTTTTTAGTACTTTTTGCTGTATTTTTCTGCCTCACTGTTGATTCTTTCAATCATTTGATTTACTCAAACAAAAATAAAAATATATAAAACAGTTAATTAAAAACTAAACAATCCTGACGACATATATAACATGCAATTATATATTTTACACAAATATATATTATATATGATCTATAGGACAAATGTATATATATATATATACATGTATAAATGTATATATATAAAAATACACATATTTCTCTATGTATAAAAATATATTTAATTATAAATATATATTTTTATATACGTTTGACCTTTGGCTCTGGTTTAAACAACAACAACAACAACAACAAACGACTTAATGCCAGAGAAGCATTTTATTTGGAGAAAGAAACCTTTGAAATCACTCATTTTCAAAATTCAATTATTTCATCGAGTACGACATCTAAATTCTGAGAAAAAAGTTAAAATCATGCCTTTAGTCTTTTTATACATAAAAGATGCATTTTTTTTTAATATGATGACAAATTATTCTTTTTTTTTCTTAAATTACAAAATGACTGCTTTTTTCTTTTTTCTTCTTCTGACATTTAACGTATGTTAAAGAAATATTAATGTAGAAAAAAACAAACAAAAACAAAAATAAAACAACCCCCCCCTTCAGTAAAACAGACAGAAATTCAACAGAAACAGAGAAAGGCATAAAACACAGTAGGTTACAATGCGCTGACATGGCTTCATAGCAAACATATTACAGTACTGTACAAGGGTCCGCCTCAGACAAAACGCACCAGAACCACTTCCACTGCTGAGGGTCGATCAAACCTCAGAAACAGTTTGGTCACTGCTTATTTACTCCAACACAGGGCCGGCCGCCGCGTCGGCAACTGGCAAATGAGGTAAATATATATCTCCACGAAAAAAAGCACCACAAGGTTTGGCGGTCAAACTTTACGTATAGCTTATATGAGACAGTGAGTTGAGTGAGTTTCAGCCACGTTTCTCTTCTCACGACCAACACCGGAGAAACAAACTGCAGATTAGGTTGTGTCGTTCAGAGGCCAAACGAAGGCACGCCGCCAGACCTGCTGTGTGTGTGTAAATAAGCAGTTTTCTTTTTTGTTTTTTTTTTACCACATTTTCAATGGGACATTTAATGTCGGGATTTATAGTGACGTCCAGGACGAAAGGATTTGGATCTACGTCGTTGCTGGATTCACTCATTTACATGAAAACAAATCTTCTTTAAAGTGATTTTTCTTTCTTTAGTTTTTTCTTCTTTTTTTTTTTGGGCTCACTCCATTCTGGAGTTTGGGTTTGTGAGATCATGTCCACTGACCTGTGGCTAAGCCCAGCCTTTTTTGTTTTTTGTTTTTTTTTTTTGCAGTTGAGACAAAGCATCTTTGTGAAGGAGTTCCGTTTGGGAAATGAACGTTGTAGAACTGCAGGTGCGTGTGGCTAATTGTTCAGTAAAACCTGTTTTTCTGTTTACATCCTGGTACCGTTGGGATCTTAGAGTCGGCAGAACAAATGCATTTCTAATATGATCTAAATTGGTTGGAACAGGTGATACCGATACCAGTATCTGATGGAGTATTTAAACCTCAACAAGACACTTTTTATTTTTTTATTGGTCAGTACTACGTACCAACAAAAACACAAATGAAAATACATTAGTAGAACATCGACCTCAGTGTCTATAAATACCAGTCGATGTTCTAAGCCGATTCAAAGTACTTCAAATCTTACAATACTGACAGAGTACGTGCTTGGCACTTAAAACGGCGAGAAGTTATACTTCACACGTGAGGCTACTTTTTAAAGCGTATTTTGTCCCTGACTCAATGCTACAAAATGGTTAGCACCAGAATTTTTTCTTTTTCTTTCTTCTTTCCAGTACACGGTGAGTACATGGTCATATTTTTATGAGTCAAGTGACATGGGTTGAAATTTCACCTCAGAAAAGCCAGCGAAATTCTCAAATCAATACCATGGGAAAATTTCTGAGTCAGAAAAATACAATGTGACATTATGTTCCTGAAGCGCAGCTCCTGATTGGTCGGCTAATTGATTGAAGGTTAAAAAAAAGAAAATTGCTACATTCGTCCGTTCACCTTGCACGTCATCCAGGCGTGCGACCGTGAACACAGTCCTACACATAAAAATGTGCAAAATCGTAGGGCTGGGCAAAAGTTAAAAAAGAATTAAATAATAATAAAATAAAAAGTATTTTGTACGTCGTTAAATGGCATTTAAATTGAAAAAAAAATTTTTTTGTACAAAAATGGCATTTTTGTACAAATCATTTAGAGGACGCCATATGTTATGTATTTATTTTCTTGATACATACAAACAGGAAGTAAGGATCCATTTGTTTTGTACAAATCGTTTAGAGGACGCCGTATGTTATGTATTTATTTTCTTTATAGATACAAACAGGAAGTAAGGATCCATTTGGAGATTGTGGGAATAATGGAGTTTTTCCAACTTTTAATAAAGTTTTTCTTTATGTTAAACATTGACGGACATGGAAGGACAACGACTTCTGCGTCGTGGAGACCTTTTTATAAAAGGCCAGAAACCACACCAGGAACAAAAAGTCTGAGCTCAGAATGTCCAACTGCAAGTCTGATTTTTGTTTTTGTTTTTTTTTGGGAGGGGGCGGGGCTTAGCCACAGCTCAATCTAAAGTCGCTCACAAACCTGAAGTAAACGAGCAAAAGCTTTGACTCACAAACATTTAATAAAATGAGCAAAAAACGCAAAACGTCGGCTCTTTTTAAGAAGATCACCTTTCAGGTGTGAAAAAAAATAATTTAAAAAAAAAAATCAAACAAGTAAAAACAATCTTAGGCCAAAAATCTTTTAGGGACAACATCATCATCATCTAGGTCTAGGTCACATGAATTGCAAACTCAATTGTGCATAGAGATCAAATCGTAATAAATATTAAAGTGATAATTTTTTCATTATCACGAGTTTGACTTGGTCAAAACCTGTTGGGGTGATTGTACATCTTCATGATTAATTTAGTTTTACTAAAACAGTAAAAAGTTCTTGTTTATTCAATACAATGCTGCAAGAAAAGCTTATATATTTTTTTTGAATTTTTTTGTTTTGTTTTGTTTTTAAATCCAAGAAACATTTACCCATTTATTATTAACCAGAGCCCCGAGAGACAAACACAAAACCAAACACTCAATAAAAATCCTGATAAAAGTCACTGATTTGTCTTAGTTTTTCAACATTCTGTTAATGGCTCTTTCACTTTAAAAAGTTTTATTTTTTTTTTATTTTTTTTTTTAAGTTCTGTATTTCTGCATCAAAGTTTCACATGAGCAACAAATAACAATCTGAGCGTTATAGCGATGTACAGGAACTTTACAGAGAAGAACTTTAGTAAGTATTTAAAAAGTAAATGGACGTACGCTAGCATTTCGTTTTGCGCTGTTTCTTCGTCTGATGTAGCTTTAGAGATGACGTTTAAGCACGATGCCTGTCTTTGGACCACCGAGGTAATTGTAGGTGTGTGTGTGTGGCTGAGTGTGTAAAACATGCTGAAATGTTTCCCAAATATTTCACATGAGAAAATAGTGTTCCTCCGAGCCATCGGGGACTCTTCCTGCTTCGAGGTATATGATCCTGGGGCCGACCGGTGGCGCCTGTGTAAATGTTACAAAGCTGTCTGATGGATGATGGTGAATTTCATTCACGCTGCTGTGCGTCACACTGCCGCCGCCTCCTCCTCCTCTTCCTCCTTCATCCTCCTCCTCCTCCTCCTCCTCCTCTCCCTCTCCCTAATTTTTTTCTCCGTTGCAGCCCCGCTCGGGCTACTTTACATTTTTTCATCCAATCATTTGTCGACACCCGTTTTTTTTTTTTTTTTTTTTTTTTGTCACCCTGAATAGCTTCTGGGCTCCATTCACATTCAGTTCACTTAATTCATGAAGAGCTCGTTTTCTGGCTAAAATAAATGCTTAACTCCTCTTCCTTCTTTAAGAGTGAAATCTCATATGTTTTGTGCAGAATACCAACTGTACAAGTTGCTCTCTTTATAGAAAGGAAGCTTCACGTAAAGACACACAATGAGAGAAAATAACCCCCCCCCCTCAAATACCTGCTTCCCACTGGAGTCAAACATCCTAATCTGTACCAATGGATATATAACAAACACAGATATTAGAGTAGAGGAACATGGCCGCCGCAACCATCGACTATAAACTCTGTCTATGTTCAGACTACAGGTCTGTTGTTGTTCAAATCCAATTTTTTTTTTTTTTGCTGTGATCAGATTTATTTTTGTTTGTTTTTTCCACTGCAGTTTAAAACAGTCTGCGATCCTGGAGCAAAAGTCGTAAATAAAGATGCTACACGTCATTGTGTAAAAACTGGTGTCCGATAAGTGTCAGTCACCAGGGGTCTGGCGGGGTGCGGGGGCGATCATGTGACGATCATCTACAGACTAGTAGGGCTGTGTCTGAATCTCGCGATACGGTGGCGATGATACGATATATTGCGATGCTTTAGGGACGGCGATATATTAAGATTTTTTTTTTTACAATTTAATTGTAGGAAAACTGTCGTAGCAGTAAAGACAGAATGCTGTTAAAATTCATATGATAAAATGAACCAACAGCATGAATATTTGACTGGTACGATATCTTAAAACAAAATACTGCGATATTTCAGTGTATCGTTATTTTCGCACACAGCTACTGACTAGCTACTTCAACTGTGTCTGCATGTTAGATTTGTCCATTATGTCTGTCTGACTTCAATTACCTCAAAGCTGCGTTAAATGTTGCAGACTGTTAGTGCTTTGATAAAAAAATATATTGGAAAAGTATCTGATTTTTTACTACTTACTACATCAAAGTTGCCAAAGGCAAAATAAAAGAAAATCGTATTTGTGCTGTTCGATTTGTCAAATGTTGGCAAAAAAAAAAAAAATCAGATTTGAACCTCTCTTGCCTGCAGTGTGAACATATTAAAATAGGTTCATGATCTCAGTCTTCAGTTTGAAGTCTCTTTCCCATCAACCACGACGACTGTAAAACTATGATCCGATTTAGCGGAAAACTGGACCATAAAGCAGAGTCGACACTGTGTGGTTGACCGTGAATTTTTTTCTTTTTTCTAGAATGGTGCTAAACATACGCTCAACATTCGAGGTTAGGAAATTGTTTTGCGGCTGGAGTAAAACATAAAACTGTACTTTTATACTGTATGGTCCACGGGTCACACCTATATTGGTTACCAACTTAGGTCTCGTATCCACAAAAATCCAGTTTCTCCCCCGGCTTGGTCGTGGCGTAACCAGGCCGGAGGATGAGGTATTATTGGTCGCCCTGCCTTAATGAAGAGACGACGTCGCACGGAGCGGTCGTCTCTTTAAGAAAAACATCGTTAACGCTTTACTCCTTCTGTAATGGTCTGATGTACTGTATGTCGCCATCGTCTGAAATGCCACACGCACTCACAACCATATGAGGTCCTGTTACAACTCATAAGACACTTAAACATGTGAAAATGGAGGTAGTGAAAGAGTACCAGGAGGAAGTAAAGTTGCATTTTTCAGTGCAGGAATGAGGAACCTGCTCGGATCATTACACTGTCAGGAACCTCTGAGGTGATACATTTTTGACCTTTCCACTTCTATTCTATTCTTTTTTTTTTTTCTCACTACATAGTCAACAAGGTCCGGGCCTCGCTGAGGCGCTCTGAGCCGCTGAGTTCATTCTGAGGAAACTGGACCGATTCCGTCAAAAAAAAAAAAAAAAAAGTTTGGTAAAACTGCGTTGGTCATCTGAGACCACCGACGTTACTGCGTGAGAAAAAAGTTTTGTCTTAAGAGTTTTAGACACGGGTTACGTCAAGCACCAATGAAGAGAAGGACAATGGTTTTACCACAGTTGAAAGGCAGCGGAGAGAACAATCTAGAACTAAGCTAAACGCGCTAATAAAGGTTGACGTGACGTCAGGTGAGCACGGAGAGCTCTAAGCTTAGCAGACCCGACGGAGAAAGTCATCTGTTCGACGCCACAACCACAACCACAACAACAACAACAACTACAGTTTCATAGATTAATCAGCTTCAAACTGCCGTACTGACACCTGATTGGTCATGTGGTCTACTCTAAGCACTTATAGACTCAACATGAATTAAATGAATGGAGGGTGAATCCAACCCTTTCTCAACCAGCCCACCCTTTGCCCCCCCCCCTTTTTTTTTTTTTGCCCAAATTGCATCCGGGTACCCCCCCACCCCGACCCCTCCCACTCTTGTTTTCCTAACCTCTTTGGTGACTCTGTTGTCTTTAAAACAGGGTTCCTACACATTTGCCATTTTTTAAATTTTCTTTAAAACAACTCCTGGCCACAAAAGCACGTTAAAAAAAAAAAACAAAAAAAAAACATCTAACCCCCCTAATTGATGAAGGTGCGTGTTTGTTGCTCTACGACCTTTGAATCATTGTCACAAAAACGTTTAAATTTTTTTTTTTTACCCCCCTAATATTTCTACAGAATTGTTGTGCAATCTATAAATGTACATATATATTTTTTTTTCTCTCAAAGATCAGAAGGCCGTCCAGCCGTGTGTAGGAACCCTGACTGAAGATGGTGTCGAGCTAAAACAACGGAACCTCTACGTAAGTGCTGTTCCCACCAGAGCAAAAGATCAACAAGGCTGATGGGTTCTCCGACCTCCCCCATCCTCCCCCGTATCTCGCTCTAACCTCTTCCTCTCTGTTCTCTAAGTGGAGGTCGCTCCATGATTGGACATGTTGGCCATGCCGCCAACCATACCAGCGGCGCCCGCCATACCTGAGGGCCCTCCGAGAGCCGGAGGACTGTGCTTGGTCGGTGAGGTCATGTCGGCTCCACGCCCCTGGCCTTGGCCGTCGGCCTGGGGGTTGTGGTGGGCGTGCTGTAGGGCGTGGCGCTCCAGCAAGGTGCGGTGGGTGAAGGCCCGGTGGCACACGTTGCACTGGAATGTGCGCTCGGCACGGTGGGTGCGCATGTGCACGTTGAGGGAGCTTTTCTGGGTGAAGCGCTTGCCGCACATGGAGCACTGGAAGGCCCTGACGCCGGTGTGCACCACCATGTGTTTGAGGAGGTAGTCGCGCAGGGAGAAGGAGCGCCAGCAGATGGAGCACTGATGAGGTTTCTGACCTGTAAGGGGTCACGCAAAAGAAGTACACGAACATGTGGCTATTTTAAACACGTAGCCCTGTGTTCTGATTCGCTCTAAAGTCAACAGGATACATGATGAACCAGCTAGTGTCATCCAATAGGAGCCCAGGACAGTCTGAGGTCCAATGATTCAAGTATCTCAGTCAAACAAAGTACATTTCATAACTAGTGAAGTCGCCCCCCCCTGGTGGATTACTAGAACTTCAGACTGACTTCCTGGGATTTAATTTTGGAGTCTGATAATTAGTTCCATTTATTATATATGTTGCCCTCCCCAAATACTGCAGATGGGGGGGGGACGGGAGGGGGGCAGGGGCTGTAATGCTGGAATGATAACAAGCCTCCAGTCACTAGGTGGCAGCAACTCATACAGTGGTTTGTACAGATACAAATATACACGTTATCAGGTTCTCAATAGTATTTCAATCCGTGAGGGTGTGGGTCAAAGGGAAAACATTTCTGTCCTCAAGGGGGCGCATGACAAAAAAAATAACTGAGACCCACTGGATTATAGGGATATTAGTGTCTACTCATCTGTGTGCTGTAGGTCACGTGATTATAAATCCACCTTTAAATCTCACTGGATCAGATTCGTTTTTTCTACTCTACTCTAAGACGTCACCAAACGTCGTATCGTTGACTATCGGAGCTCCGACAACAACCACAGCAGGAGGAGAAGGCGGCGGCTCTTACCAGAGTGGATGAACATGTGCTTGCTGTAGTTCTTCCTTGAACGTAGAGATTTGCCACAGTGCGTGCAGTCGAACGAGGTTTCCGATCCCTGGGAGGAAGGGGAGGGGCCCGCCGAGCATGAGGATGAGGAGGGAGGCGGGGCCGGGGTCATCGGTGCCGGGGGCGGCGCCGGCTGAGGGGTGCCATGTTCGGTTGGTGCCATGCTGTCGATTGCACCCATGTGGCCACCTACATAAAATGGGGCTTGCTGTGATTGGCTGACCGGATACTGGAACAGAAGCTGAGGAGGAAGAAGGAGGAGACATGTTTTTTTTTTTTTTTTAAATTTCCATTTTATTTTTTTTATTTTTTTAGGTTGTATGACACATATTTAAAAAGACAATCTCATTGGGGAGGCAACAAGTGATCACTGTCAATAATCGACTACTAATTTAACAACTTGTAAAAGGTCGGCGTAATTATGTACTGAACCAATCGTGTGGGCCACATACTGTTACCTAGTGATATGGGTCCAATTAAAGTGATGTTGGTTTTGGCAGAAAAGTGCATCTTACAGCGGGGAGGGGTCCCCAACCCCCGGTCTGCGGACCAGTACTAGTCCATAGGTGATTTGGCAATTTTTACTAATTTACTTCATTCAAAAAAAAATTTAAAAAAAATCCAGTCATATCCATTTACTTTAGAAAATCGTGCAATATTTTAAAATAATAGGTCACGGGGACCACTGGTATAGATGTAACTACTCCATCACAGACTAATACATGTCTCTGCAATTGATTATTATTTATTCAAGCTACAAATATTGTTCATTGCTGTGTAATAAAAAAAAAATGTTTAATTTCATAGGTTAAGAAACCTCTCGGGCCACACAAAACGGCTTGGCGGGCCGCATTTGGCCCCCGGGCCTTGAGTTTGACACATATGGTTTACTGACCACCACCTTTCTCCATGAACTGTTTGTACATGTCATTTTAGGGGTAAAACAGTCAGATTTAAATAGAACTTCAGTTGATGACATCAGACACACAGAGAGAGAGAGAGAGAGAGAGAGAGAGAGCACCGACCTGGTTGTTGATGGACTGGGTGGTGGGGGGTGGAGTCAGAGGCTTGTTGACCCGTCCTCTGGGGTTGAAGGCCATGGTGCGGGGAGGCTCACTCTGGGGCCAGAAACTCTCAGAAAACACTCCCTGCTCATCGTAGAAATCCTGCCACACACAAACAAAGACACACACACACAAACACACATGTACACACACACAAACACACATGTACACACACAAATCATTGAAGATCCTGGAGTAACAAAAACCACGTGTCATGGAACAACTCTGGTTTCAACAACAAGTAAAATAATGGAGTCCCAGCAATGGATAAATTTACAGTGTTAGTAACTGGTGGTTCCTCTGGGAATCGAACCCAGGACTCTGGTGGCTTGTAAGGCAAGCGTGCTAACCACGTTCGGTATGCTAAAAATAAAAAAAAAAAACTTTCCTGAATGGAAAACAAAGTTTGTTTACTAGACAACGATGTCCCGTGCCGAAGCCGAGAGAAATTCTGTTTTTTTTTTTTTAGCTGGTGAGAACAGCGATCTGCAGCGACCGTGTCTGACAGCTTCACGTCAGTCACAGAAATAATAGCTTAAAGGTACAAATTAGTAAAATTATTTAAACATTTCCTCAACTAAAACTTCAACTAACAAACTCCAGTTTCCAGTCATTCCAGATAAAAACGCCGTGAACGTGCTCCTAGAAACCTGTGTCCTTTTTGGCTGTGCAGCCAAACTGCGATGTCACACACGCAGCCATGTTTCCGGTGCCTGCGTGTCTTTTGTCAAATGTTGGTTCACGATGATGAGTCAGGGTTAACAGTTTAAAAGTGCAGACAATAACGCTATACGTCCTAGAAAAGGAAACGACTCCTCTCTTCGAGTGTTAGCCAAACATTTACACGGCGTGTAACCAGATGAGCGCAGACACTCACCTCCATAGGTGAAAATTCCATTTGTCCGTACGTTCTAAAGACTTGTGGCATGTGTTCAGCGACACACAATCTGCACGTATGTAAAAGACACATAGGCTCTAACTGCACTTTCTGTCTCTGATCATGTGCAGCTAAGCACAGACCTCATTGCCTATTATTTGCTTTTGCAACCCCCCCCCTCCTCCTCTTCCTCCCCCTTTTCTCCCCCCTGAATGTACACATGCAGACGTTGGGAAGATACATTTGTGCGTTATGGTCTGACCAGTCAAGCTGCATTTCTGTCGGAGCTGCCGCTGATCTACAAAACAATCTACTGTACAGAGGGGGAGGTAACGTAAGGAGACATAACAACGAGGGTGGAGCTGCTTCAGCGGAGAGATGAAAGCGTCTCAAATGTGAGAAAATGTCTGGCTCAGCTCGACACATTTCACACATACATCACATACCGTAATCAGACTTATCTCTGATGTGTTCTGTTAACTGGGTATCAGAATGAATGATTAAAAAAAAAAAAAGTTGTTTACGTTCAAAACATACATGTAGAAAAAGGGGGCGCCAAACTCATTTTCTAGGGCCGGTTGTAAATGGAAAACTGTAAAGATGTAACAACTCCGTAACGTATTATTATTATAATAAAAATAAAAAAAAAATAAAAAAAATCAGCCATATAATATGACTTAGCGAGCCACATTTGGCCCCCGGGCCTTAAGTTTGACACATGTGGCCTAGGTGAACCTCTACAGTATGTGCCATGCCCTTCAAAAATTGAATTTCTTTTTTCACCGTAGGCAGCAATGATTATTGAAAGCAGACAGTTAAGAAAAAAAAAAGAAAAAATTAAAAAAAAAAAAAAAAATGCCTCTGTGCCTGATCATAAGGCAAAACATGTGAAAGTTGTTTTTTTGCGATTTCTGCTTGAAAGTATTGCCAGAAAAGTCGTAAGGTGTGAACACAAAAAGTAGCTAAAACAACCCTGAAAAGACAAATTAAATTTAACAAAACAAGGTGTGAACGCAAAAAGTACCTAAAAACAAACTGAAAAGACAAATTAAATTTAACAAAACTGTTACGAGTCACGATAACCTTGAAATTTCCAATTTCCTAGAGTCAAATCGAGTCCATGGAAAATCAGAAGTCACACCAAAATCTTACATTTTCTAACGGATAAACTAAGATCTTCTCTGACCAGGCGCCACTATTTAAAGTTGTTGTTCCCAAAGTGGGGGTCAGGCGCCCCCTACGGGCGAGGCTGAACTGCATTCATATCTTCACTTGTCTCACAGTTGTGAAATTGGACCGATTTGTCTTTTTAATTTCCACGGTTAACGAGAGAACAGCAGTTTCGTCGACGACATGAGTTCCATTTGGCAAAACGAGGGCGCTGCGGAAAAAAGTTCAGTAACGGCTGATCTGAGGGGAGCGAAACGGCCCGCGAGTAGACGACGTGAGCGTCTTTATTATCACGAAGGAGTTGGTGCGGAGGAACTGAAGACAGGTAAAACTAGTGTTCATCCTCAGACGACTGTACCGTCGCTCTGGCACACAGTCCTCCAGCAGGCACTCTGCCAGAAGTGTTTCACATGCCATCACCAGGGAATCTGCAGGATTTATGTGAGTGGGAGGGGGCGGAC